TCTTTCATGTTTCATCATTTTCATCATGTTTCATCATCTTGTCTTCTTGGTTTGTTTTCATACGAATGGTAACATAAGAAATATTATGATTGGTAGAATAGGCTCCGACTAGCTAGCACGTGACTCGTGACGTCACGTAAAAAATTATTTTTCGTGTATTTCTCATTCCCTTAGCTCCATACATGTATCTATATACATATCCATATTTATATAATCTCTTAAGTATGGATCAAAGTTTTTTTTCATGCTAATTTGAATAATAGAATAAGTCGCGTTTTCTTATTTTTCATTTGAAATGTTGTGACCGGCAGATTCAGCTTTACAGAGTGGTTGGAAGATGGCGCTCTGGCGTCACTGTCATGTTAAGCGCGGATAGGCCAATGCCCTATCCAGATTATATTATAGAGATCAGTGGGCGGTGTGCGTGATTTTTTTCCTAGGTCAATCAAGAACACAAACTCCACGACAGATGGCGCTTTCGCTCTGGCTCAATTCTACCTGGGTATAGGTAGAATCAGGTATATCAGGTATATCAGGATATACACTCAGGTATATCCTGAGTGTGGGAAGGGGGCGCTGCATGCAGTTTGTCAAGAACATAGGGCTCTAGTAAGCGCTGCCATTGGTTGATACAAATCACGTGACTTTCGTCATTTCCGGCAAGCAAGCAAGTCCGTCGCCTGCAAAGAAGATGGAGCAATGTGCCACTGGCACTGCAACTGCAAGTTATCCACTGTTAGAGGTTCGTTGATTCATACTTCATTACTTGGCTATAAGCTATTACTTGGGAATGCGCGCGGACTACCGACAGGTGCGGACGTGTTTTTCGTAGGCTCCTGCAAACATACAGCGACCGATACGGCCACTGATTCATCTCTAAGATAAGTCGAGCTAAACATAAAAATACTGAACTAATACTGTAACTAATACGGAGTACAAAATAATAAGTAAAGGGGTATAAGTTGTTTTTCTTAAACTACATATAATATACAACTAATTATAGACAAACTATTATAAAAGGGTGTGGTAAATCTCCCGCCATTTTCTGGACACTCTTTGTTTACACTTGCATGTAAGCGTCACTGGTGAAGCAGTGTTTTTTACGCAGAGTGACTGAAGCGCTGAAGCTAATTAATAAGCAAGGCCAAGGAAAATTAAAATCACAAAGAGTAAACTTAGGTAAATTATATTTAATGAAGTAAAATAAAGGTGAAACGCGCACATGTCTCATTTCACACTAACAAAACTAACTTGGGCCTACTAGGTGTCTCTGGTTTGCTGTGTTGCCCAGGGTGGCCTGCTGGGAATGAAGAAAGATTAGAAAGCCAGTCAGACAGTAAAGCAAAATTAACAACTAGAGATAGGCGGGAAGTAATTAGAGATAGGTAGAAATAAGGCAGGAACTGCACCTCTATGTCATGTGATGTCCATTGCACTAAGAATAATATATTAAATTTCAAATAAATAAATATAGCAGTAGACGAGTAGTATAGTACCGCCGGTATTCTATAAAATAATTATAATGCTCTATGCAAACTGTTGTTCCCCAAAGTACGATATCTCATTTGAAGAAATCTGCTGTTCAGAGCGTGCGCTGTGAGAGCAACAGACTGGCAAATAGGTAAGATGGCAACTAGTAATGTCGGGGGTAGAAGACGTCGGGACAGAAACAAACGAGTGGATTTCTCCATCACTCTTGGTCTACTGCTTGTGTTCGTCACCTTTGTACGCCTACCCACTGCTACAACCTATGGTGCCCATCAAGCTGCATATAATATCGTGCTAAATAGGCGTGTATGTCCACTAAATACATTGGCATCTACGACATCATTACTGACCACAGTATCAAATATGACAAAAACCTCCACAGAGACATATAGATCAGACAAAAAGTTTTCTGCAGTTATCCACCTACTGCTAATAATATCAGGCGACATCGAGACAAACCCTGGTGCTGTCAGATACCCATGTAAGGTATGCAAGAAACCGGTAGCCAAAACCCATCGAGCCATTGCATGTGACAAATGTGACTTTTGGCAACACATAAAATGTATTGACATGAGCCCTAGGGAGTATGAAAAACTAAAGCACAGCACATGTGTGTGGATATGCCCTTCCTGCCAGCAACCACACTTATCTGACTCACTCATTCAGGCCAAGGAGGATAACCCCCGAATCCTAATGACCAACCCTTTTATGCACTTTAATGATAGCTACTTTGACCAAGATCTTGATGACTCCCCCCCCCACTATACCAAATAGGACAAAAATTAATGGTGATTTAAAAATCATGACTGTCAACTGTAGAAGCCTGAAGGGCACCAGGAAAAGGAGACTCCTGCACTCACTACTGTGCAATGAAAAACCAGACATAATCCTAGGAACCGAGTCGCATCTAGATGGTTCGTTTACCAACGCGGAGATCTTCCCACCACCATACATGGCACTAAGAAAGGACATAGATGCCAATGGAGGAGATGTTTTCGTCGCATACAAAGAAGGACTAAACATCACCGAGATTGAGGAGGTCGGAATCGAATGTGAACTGCAAGCAGTCAAACTTACTTCAAAAGGAAATCCAACGCTATGCATAATTGTCTGCTATAGACCGCCTACAGCTAATTTGGAAAACCTCCTAAAAATCCAGACATCACTCCAAAAGATAGAAACCGACAATAAATTGGCAGAACTACTAATTCTTGGTGATTTCAACATGCCAAGTATCAATTGGAAAGCACTGACAATTAAAGATGCACCACAATACAGCATGGAACTCAACGAAGCCCTACTTTCCACTGTAAATGATCTATACTTAACGCAGATGGTTGAAGAACCAACATGTGGAAAAAATATCCTTGACCTTGTTTTCACCTCCTCTCCAGACCTAATCGAGGCAGTCCAAACTGTTCCAGGTATCAGTGACCATCATGCAGTTACAGCTAAATATAAGCACAGAATCACTCCAAACAAAAAACCTAAACGAACCATATACATGTATGGAAAGGCAGACACCTCTCTACTCGAGACTGATCTCTTAGCATTTAAGGAAAATTTCATGAGAGAGGCAGAAGGGAGGAGCGTCAACACTAACTGGGATATTCTTAAAGTCAATATCGAGATTGTAATCAATAGACACGTACCAAAAAAAATCATAAAGACAAACAATAATATTCCATACATCACCAGAAAAATAAAAAGCATAATGAAAAAAATGAAACGGAGGTGGAACAAGGCAAAGAAAACTAAGACAGATGCTGATAGAGAACTCTACGAAGAAACTCAGCGAGAAATTAAGGAGCAACTACAATTAGAATACAACAAATATCTAGAGAGTCTATTTGAAAACAATGCAGGTCTGAACACCAACAGACTCTGGAATTTCATTAAAAATAAGAAAAAAGATATTATTGGCATACCGACACTACTTTACAAAAACAGACTTGTGTCTACTACAATAGAGAAGACAGAGGTCCTAGCAGACCAGTACGAATCAGTTTTTACTACAGAAAATAAAGACAATATCCCTGACATGGGCCCATCACGCCACTCAACAATGGAAGACATCTCCATTACCTTACCTGGCGTAATTAAACTACTAAAATCCTTAGATCCTAAGAAAGCAATTGGCCCTGACAATCTACCAACAACACTGCTGAAGAACTATGCAGAGATCATAGGGCCGATGCTGTGTCTTATATACAAGCAAAGTATACACACCGGTGACATGCCAGAGGATTGGCTAAACGCAAACATCATAGCTGCTCACAAGAAAGGAAACAAATCTGACCCGGCAAACTACAGACCAATATCCCTTACCTGTGTGGCATGCAAAGTCATGGAACACATCATATTCAGGAGTGTGATGGACCACTTTGACCATAACAATATACTTGCAAACTGCCAACATGGTTTCAGGAAGTCTCACAGCTGTGAGACTCAGCTGCTTTCCACTGTCAATGACCTTAGTTACAGGCTGGATAACAAAGAACAAGTAGACGTGGCGATCCTAGACTTCGCAAAGGCTTTCGACACAGTCCCCCATAATAAACTGCTTCATAAGCTAAACTACTATGGAACAAGAGGGAAGACTTTGATATGGATACGTAAATGGCTGACCAAAAGGCACCAAACTGTAGTGTTAGATGGTCAAAAATCAAGAAAAGTACCGGTAAAGTCAGGAGTCCCCCAGGGAACAGTCCTCGGCCCCCTCCTGTTCCTCGTTTTCATAAACGACATATGTAATGGCATCGACTCAACACTCCGACTGTTTGCAGATGATTGTCTCATCTACAAACCCATCAGAAGCGGAGCTGATACAGAGCTTCTCCAAAAGGATATCGATAAGCTTGTTCAATGGTCCAAAAACTGGCAAATGTCATTTAATCCAAAAAAGTGCACCACCCTCACAATATCAAGGAAACAAACCCCAATAAAGCAGACCTATACCATCATGGGAACCAAGCTCAAAAAGGAGGAACATCAACTCTACCTCGGCGTTGAGCTCACTGATGACCTCTTTTGGTTTACCCACATCAGTCGGTCAAAAAGAAAGGCAACCGGGGCCCTAAATTTCATCCGCAGGAACCTTGTAGGATGCCCAGAACCTGTCAAGGAGATGGCATACAAAGCATACGTGAAGCCGAGCCTCGAGTATGCAAGTAGTGTCTGGGATCCACACACACAGAAGGATATCACCTCCCTGGAGAAAGTGCAAAGACGAGCAGCACGCTTCGTAACAGGGAATTACCAGCAAACTGAGAGTGTTACACAAATGATCGCAGACCTACAATGGCCCTCCTTGCAGGAACGCAGGTTTGTCAACCGACAGGCCCTATTTTGGAAGATAATCAACGGACAGGCAGCAGTCGACTTTCCATCATTCATCACCAAAAGCACCAGCATATGCCGCGGCACACACCAGCTCACATACAACAACATCAGAACCCGGACAGATGGGTACAGGTTCAGCTTCTTTCCTAGAACAATCAGAAGCTGGAATCTGCTACCGGAGTCACTACTCACTAGTCCAACAGCACAGCAATTCACTGGGTCTCTCTGGAAAAACATTGAGTCAGGCAGCTTCGTTGTTATGCCTCCTTGAGGAAGTGAAACGCATCTCCGGCTGGGCAACTACAACAGCTCGCAACAGCCTATTGCCGTATGCTAGTCGCACTCAGTAATGAGTGCCTGGCCCAGAGAAGCCTCGATCTCTGGAACACGTTACTGTCTACATTTTGAAAATGTTCTGTGCAAGTCTCTCACGTGCACCTGGAGTTCTTCGCGCACTCCCTGGACGTTTATTCCTCACGGACTGTCCAGTATAGAAGTAGAAGTAGAAGTAACAGTACTAACACTAACAGTTTGGTCAAATGTATATAATATAGGATGATGAGTAATAACTAATTATAGGATAATTACGCTTAATTTGTAACTAATACTAGTACTATTACTAGTAATAGTAATGTAAGCTAGTTAGCTAGTTAATGTAAGCTAGTTAGCTAGTTAATGTAAGCTAGTTAGTAATGTAAGTGTAGCTACTTGTATTAGTTGTAGTACTGAATTTTTATTCATTCAAATTTCAGTTATTTCTATGTCTAATAATAGTAATAATAGTTATAGCATGAGAAGGTAGCGAATACAGGAGGATGAGGAAGGGGGTTAGAGCTCAAAGACGTTGAAGACACTAGAAAGTATTGAGAGAAATAACTAATTGTGTATACATATGATATTTGACAGAATATTTTGCCAAAGGCAAAGGAAGGTGGCTGCAAATACCGCATCACGCAATACACGTCATGCCCATCTGGCGGGTTTGAAGCGACCATACGATTAAACATTCGCACTAAAGATGATGCAGTTAAATGGATCAAGTCATTCCAAGCCTCATCATTGGTTACTTGGAGGCTATCTAAGACGCATCCGAAGCCACAATATATACAAGGTTTGTAACTATATACGCTGTAGTACTAATACTCAGGGTTTTCATTATCTTTTATAGTAACAGGCCGAAATGCTTTTGCAACAGGCCGTGGCGGTGTGTGGGCTTTGGGGAGGGGAAGGAGGGGGGTTAAATTTTAAATTTATTTTTAAAAACCTAGATGCTCTGAGATGCAATCTGGTGTATTCTGAGCTGCAGTAAACAGACACATTTGGATTACAGTATGGTCCTTTTTTCCAATTTGGTTTCTCCTGGTACATTCAGAGTTCACAAAAAGTTTCCAAATTATGACGATTTAGTAATTATAAGAGTAATTATATATCGTTACTCAAAAACAAAACAATGCTTCTTGTGCACATAACTCAACTGATTTATTAGTAGTAGCTCATAAAACACTTTTACTTTGGAGAATAATTAGAGCAAACTAAATGAAAAAAAAAATGAAAAAAAAATAAATGTATATCATACTAGTGGAGCCAATTGTAACCGGCCGAAACAGCAGAGTAGACGGTCAATTCGGCCGGTGGCCGGTTCCTAATGAGAACACTGAATACTATGCTGCAAATAGTATAAACTAGACAGAGGGCACTCACGGAGAGTGCATACCTCCGCGAGCGTGTAACATGTATGTGTATAACAGCTGGCTCGCTGCTGGCTGCTGCTGACTGAACAGCCCTAAGGCGAGCTGCTGCTGAATCGATCGCGCGAACACTACACACACACACACGACCGATCGCATTACCTCCCCTGCAACTCCGTTGCACGGAGGTAATTATGATTAACTAATTGCGAGTTCATAAAACAATGATAGACATGAGGGAGTGTGATACATAATAACTACATGCAGATGACCAATACTGCCAATAGCAACCATCTGCAGCTGTTTTACGGTTGTTACAGTTTGCATAATGATTCTTAAAAGAACACTATCATGGTTTTTGCAAGTCACGCTTGGCGTACACCTGACAACAGAAGCCTCTCCTGCGCATGTGCATCACCCAATTGTGATTTATTCAACAACATGCTGCAAAGCGTGCTGGATACGCATGCGCAGGAGACTTCTGAAACGATAACCGTGATAGTGTTCCTTTAAATTAATTACCCTTGCACTATATTTAGTGATCATTAATTATACTTGCAATAAAAATCTTGAGACGTTGCAGACCCATGAGATACAATACTACATGTTCAGTAGGAGCGGCCACATTTGTGAGCCATGGCTCGCTCCATGGAGCAATGTCCTCACTGTTCATATATAAATCATTCCGTTTGATTGTAACCGACTCTCACAATAAATGCTCTTATAAGCTGGCATTATTTGTCCATCCTGTTTGCTGTAAAACCCCTGTCTATATTTTATCATTTATAAAATGATCTCATGTAAACAAATGATCATAATGTATCTGCATGAGCCTGCTTAGTTGTAAGGCTGACTACAAATTAAGCAAAATCTAATAGTACATATATATCTAATCCTTTCAGGTTGATATGAGATGTCAGCACAAGACGCTTCCGAGAACATCAACAGCAGACAAAAGAGCAGCATCAAAAAATACTTGCTGTCCGGCCAAAATGAACATTGTTGTTAAGCGGACTGTTACATCAAATGGACGGAAAACTAAGTAAGCAGGGCTTTTAATAGTTAAAGGGACAGTAGCCTCCAGGATTTTACTGCATACAACTGTACTTATTGTATAACAAATCGTCTATACCCACACGTATTTGTTACCAGATACCTAATTTAATTGTTATAATTATTTACACATCAACGCTACGAAATTTGAACGGCGCCATGACACCCGCGACCGTGATGCCACCCCGAAAAAGTTGCGTATTTGACAATTTATTTTGCAGGTTATAGACCGAAGGCTAGTCACAAAAGTGCAATTATATTTATACCTAAATTCTATTTAACCAAACGATATTCATTTTAGGGCACATTTATCCATATTATAACTGAAACTATACCCCGTATGTCGTTTATAAGATATTACAATCTTTTTGCTTTTAAATGAATAAATAAGAAACACCCTCGGTCTGTAGCCCTTGGCTGGAAAGTGGTTTAGCGCAACTTATCAGATCGTGCGGTTTGAGTGGCGCCACCGTCGTTGTAATCAAACTGTAGTCGTTAGTTTTAAAACATTTTTTTTATATTATTTCTAATGGTGATTGAACCATGCATGAATCTTTTTATGTAGCGTAATTATAACCTAAATTAGCTGAAAATAACCCTAGAACCTAGAGTAATCTCTCTCTTTAAGAATATGTAATATGTAAGACCCTGCATTAAGACAGAGTTATCACTGGCAAATAACCAGATCATCCGATATGGTCCATTTCAAAGAAAGATAGAATTCCCCAGTAAAAAGTGTCGTTCCCATGTTCACCATGTTCAAGTGAATAAAAGCACTGAAATAGCAGTTTCAATGAATAATGTTAATCCTGTGTTGAGTGTATTTTATTTTGTTACGTTATTGCTATCACCATACAAATTTTCAATTTATAAAGTCCAGGTTTGCAATTAGGCGAACTCAAAGAGCAGTTCCGCCCTGGGCTAGAGAAGATTACTTGCAACCCCATGCGCTGGGTGTCATACTAAACAATTCATTATTTATAACACTCCCAATAATTCCAGATCTACGGATATGTACATTCGAGATTTTCCAACCCGTGTTTCCCTGTCCTTCCTACACAACCATCAAGTCAATTCTGCTGATGCTCTGCGAGAAAGGGACGTGACACCAGAAATGGTAGATAAGTTAGAGATGCTATACAAAGCAGGACACAGCCCTGCATCTGCTCTGGATGTAATCAAATATGATCTTCAGGAAGAATGTGGTGACAATTACATATTTGCTGCAGCAGACAGGTCTCGGTGTCCTGACCAACAGTTTTGTTACAGGTAAATATTCAGAACTACTAACAGGCTACAGGTCGAGGAGGAGGGAAGAAGGTGGTGGAGGAGGAGGGGGAGAAGGTGGGGAGAAGGTGGTGGAGGAGAAGGTGGAGGAGGAGGAAGGAGAGAACATGGGGAGAAGGTGGTGGAGGAGGGGGAGAAGGTGGAGGAGGAGGGGGAAGAAGGTGGAGGAGGAGAGGAGAGGAGGTGGAAAAGGAGGAGAAGAGGATGTGGAGGAGAAGGAGGAGGAGGAGGAGAGGAGGTGGAGGAGGAAGAGGGGGAGAACGTGGGTAGAAGGTGGTGGAGGGGGAGAAGGTGGAGGAGGAGAGGGAAGAAGGTGTAGGAGGAGAGGAGAGGGGTGGAAGAGGAGGAGGAGAGGATGTGCAGGAGGAGGAGGAGGAGGAGGAGGAGGAGGAAGAGAGGAGGAGAGGAGGTGGAGGAGGAAGAGGGGGAGAACGTGGGTAGGTGGTGGAGAAGGAGGGGGAGGGGAGAAGGTGGAGGAGGAGGTAGAGAAGGGGAGAGGTAGCGGAGGACCAGGTGGTGGAGGAGGAGAGGAGGTGGTGGTGGAGGATGAGGAGGAGGAAGTGGAGAAGGAGGGGGAGAACGTAGGGAGAAGGTGGTGGAAGAGGAGGAGAGGAGGTGGTGGAGGAGGAGAAGGAGAGG